CCCTTCCAGCCAGCACTTGGTAGCTGGTTTTCTTCAGTGCGTTACTCATCCTCCCTTCTCCAGCTCCACAAGGTGCAGTAGCTACTAGAAACTGCATCACAGAAAAAGTGAGGTTGGGAGGACCTCTGGAGGTCTCCAGTCCAACCTCCTGCTCTGAGCAGGGCTGGCTGCCAAGCTAGAGCAGGTCACTCAGGACCTTGCCCTGTCCTTTTGAAAACCTCCAAGGATAGAGGTGCCACCACACCTCTCCAGACCCCATCCCAGGACTGCACCGCCCTCCTAGGGAAAAAGTTTTTCCTTATGTCCAAACACCGTTTCCTGTGTCACTTCCCATGGCCTCCTGCCCTTCCCTGTGTCCCTCTGAGATCCCAAACATCCATCTTGATCCCAGAAATCCAGAATGACTTATCACAAACATAAGGAGCCATATGGATGTTTGCTGCTGTTTCCCCATCATCTCTGAACACCATGAAGCAAATCCCAAGCAAAGAGCAAAGCTGTGAGGGTGAGCACAGCACATACCCACCAGCCACCACAGAGACAGCGTCCAGCTTCTTGGTAGAAACCAAGTCCCATTGACTTGGAGGCAAATGTAGCAGGGACATCTGAAAGGCGTGTGCTGGAACTGCCCAAGTGAATTTCCAAATCTCATCTCTTCCTGATAAATGTTGTAGGATGGTGATGACTTTCAGGTTAAGTTTTGACATGTGCTCACACCAGGTTTGTGATGATTCACAGCACTCCCCAAAATCATGTCCCTATGCAACGGCTGCTCCAAACCGAGGACCTCAAACCCACGAAGGAAAATGCAGGTTCATCTTTGAGACTGGCACGAAAGGCAGGGACATGCTGCTTTTGCTAACGCTCCCAGAATATTACTCAGTGTTTGAGTACAGAGGGGTCTACTGGGGATTTACAAGTGAAATACTGTTTAATTCATTAATTTAGACAGAGAAGAAACTAAGTTTGTTGAGAAACGCTGGCTGGTGTTTGGATCAGTGACCACAGCTTGCTGGGAGCCACGAGTGAGACAAAATTCAAACAAAAATTCTCTTTAAGATATCAGCTAACACTGACTTGGAAATTCAGACCCACCAAGTCAGCACACACGTCCTGCTATTGCTAAACAGCAGGATCAGTGCAGCCATCCCAGCCCAGGCTTTCCCAGTTTGGGTGCTTTCCCTAATTAACCTTTTGCTCTGCTTTAGTGTTTTGCAGTGTTGGGTTTGAGGATGAATGAACATCAAGCCCCCTCCACAATCAGCGCGTGGGCCCAGATTCCATGTTTCAAGGGGCACTTCTGTATCTGTGGCAGGCTTGCTGGGACTAAAGAGAGCAGCATCTTTTCCTCACCTGAGGAATGAATTAAACAGGAATCTCTCAGTCCTGGACTGACCTTCTAACTTCCCAGCACTGGTGGCCAATAGCTGCACACATGCCCCTCCCAGCCCACCGTTCACATTCCATGGCTTTGTCTGCCAACACCTGGAAAACCGTCAAGGCTGGAGATCCCCCTCCCCACTGACCAGTCCTGGGCTGCAGCAGCCTCTGGGGAAGGTCTTCTCTGACCTCAACCTGCCAGTTTGTGGCTGTGTCCACTCCTTGTTTCACCTGTCACAGCTACCCCCCCATCCCCTTCTCCACTTGAACCATGAACAGACAAAAACACCCAGGCATGGAGGTCACCCCTCACCAAGCTGCACTGCTTCGGGTGGGTGATGGACCACTTCACACCCCCCCTTGGGTGACCTGGCCCTGGGGACACTAGGAAGGGCTGTCATGTGTGCCCTGGCACAATGGGTGGCATGCTCCAAGCCCTTCCTTGCTGGTACTTACAGATGTGCTGCTGAGCAGCACTTACCTGCAACAGACAAGGAAACCTGAGGCTTGAGTGGAACCTCAGGCAGATGCTGCGGTTGGGTTTGGATGACTGGCCCTGTTTTCCTGCCCTGCCAGAAGTGTCCCCAGCACTGGCTGCAGTCCCTGTGCAGGAAAATAAACCAACCAAGTGACTCGGTGCTCACGACACCAGCTAGCAGCCGTCTTGCCCAGGAAGTGCATCAACAGATCGGCACAAACCTTGACCTGCCCATTTGCCTCAGGATTTTTCCTTTCACTGCTGTCTTATCGAGGTCATTTCTCACTGTTCCCCCTCCTGAGCGGTCCCCACTGCTGCCTCAGCCTTATCCTAAGCCTCCAAATCCCAGGTGACCCCAGGCAGGGCTGTCTGGCAGTTTGTCGATGGCTGTCACGTCCTTGCCAGCTGCTGGGTCTCTGCTCCCAGCCAGTGTGTTGGTGTTTGTCACGCAGGGTGCAGTGGTGCTCGGGATCCTCAGGGTGGTAGGCGTCAGACATGCATGACGCCTGGCCTCGGGCCACACCAGGATGCTGGTGACCTTTGCTGAAGCCTGAGGCAGCACTCGGGTCTGAGATGTGCTCAGTGGCCAGGCCCTTCCCCTGTCCTGGGGTGGATCTGCCATCTCAAGCTGACAGCACTCAATTTGCACTCACCGGTTTGTAGCATCTGTGGCTTCCTGGGAACACGTTGTCCTGTCACACTACCAGCTCCTCTGATGGCCCGTGCTCGGGCAGTGAAGGAACCCAGCATCTGCCAGGCTGAGTTGGCCTAAACAGTAAAAAACCTGCCACTGCAACACAAGCAGAATCAAGCTCTGCGTGGTCAGAGCTGCAAACGATCCGGTGTAAATCCAGGACAGGTCTAACACTGGGCCCTCCGCCTCCCCAAGGGAACCTGGCTGGGGATATTGGGGTAACTACAGGCTGCTCAGGGGCTCCCTCCCCACCTCGAGACATTTGCTGCTCTGCCTAGCAGAAGGGCAAGCCAGCCCTGCAGCCTTGCACCTTGGCTTTCTCTGCAGCTGCAGCACCCCTGGTCCACCAGCAGAGCTTCCAGCTTTCCTCACACCAGCAGAGCATCTCCATGAGAGCAGGTCCTCGGGGAGAAGCTCCCACCCACATCCAGCATAGGTGAAGGACACGAACACGGGGAAGGTTTCTCAGTGGAGGCAGGATGAGAGGATGGAGGCTCCAACTCAGGGGTCAGAATTAACCACATCCCTAACAGCTCCCCACAGAGAAGCTCCTGCAGCTCCTACCGCGCTCTTGCAGTGTCCCCATTAGCACCCCCTGCCCCCAGTGGGACAGGAGTTCTCCCCTAGGTCTGGCCAGAAGCTCCTGCTACCCCTCATCACCCAACAAACCTCCCCAAGGCAGCGGGTCCAGCAGGATGAGCAATGCTGAAGAACAGAGTCAACGTGAAGGACAGCTGGGAGGACACACGGCCAGAGCTCTCCCCGGGAGATACAGCACCACTGAGAATTTCACAGACCTCAAATTACTCACCCCCAGTACAGAGAAGCAGCTGATATCACTCGCTCAGCCACCCCAAACAGCTCCCTCACCCCTGAGGAGCTGTGAGGCCTCTGTGGAGCAGGATGTGGCCACGCTCTGCCATAGCTGCACCGGGACCGAGAGGCCAGACCCACACTGGCACGTCCCAGTACAGCTACGGAGAGGACAGAGCCACAGTCTGGAGCTCTGCTTGGAGCTGCATTAAAATGCATGAGCTGTGCTAGCCCTAATGATGAGCAGAGCTGTCAAACAAGGAGCTTGTCCCAGCTAATTATCTCTAACGAGGGCAGAGTGTCAGGGTCCCCGAGGAGCTGGGCAGCAGCTTCCCACTCAGCTCAGTTGCAGAAGAGGAAGAAGACAAGCAAACGTCATTGTGCTGGCCTAGCTACAACATCATTAATTAGGCAAATACGACCTTCTGTGCCAGTTTGCTCTGGAGAATCTGGACGTGCTGGAGCTGAGATGTACAGGCAGGCTGGGAACACCCCAGCTTTTGCCAACCAGCCTGTCCCCTGCAGTGCTGAGCCCTCCATGCCTGTGCAGAGGCAGCACAGCCCCAGTCTGGCAGCCCATGAGCAACCAGCCCCACCAGCCCAGGGCTGCAGAGCTCTGCCACACTCACCCCGGGGCTCAAATACCCCTTGCAACAGCTCCAACCCATTCCCTGGCCCAAAAAGCAGCAAAGAAGTCTGGTCTTCATGAAACATCACCATTTGGGTCACATTCACCTCAACCACCTCCCTCATCCCCAGGCACCAAGCAGAGCCCTGTGGAGGCTCCGTGCCTACCCAGCAACCACCACCGCAGCACCTCTCCCAGATCTTTAAGGCAGATGTTAAGGCACTGGGAATTTCTGCTCCTCTGTGGTTCTTCTCCATTCCAGTGCTGAGGGGACCAGCCACACACTGTTCAACGAGCCCAGTTTCTGTCTTATCATGAGTCCTGTAGCTCAGAAATCAAGACCATTGATACACAAACACCAGTGACACACAGCACTGGTCACCAGCACATAATCTGTAAGTGCTTTTCAGTCCCTTGTTGTTGGAGAGGAGCAAAGTCTTGAACACCCACTTCAGCTATATTTTTACAAAATAAAAGATTTAAAAATCACTAACTTCAAATAGAAACAGCACTGGAACCCACGGGGTTAGAGTGAGCAGTACGGGCAGAGACCTGCTGGCAGGCACCGCTTGAGGCCAGGGCCTGGGGTCACGCTTTCAGAGCACAATCGTCTCTGCTGCAGGCAGCTGGGGATGGATCTTAGTTACACCATCATGTCTCACAGTCCCTGCCACCACACACTGATGAGCAATGAGTATCAGAGAACAGTTTACTAATATTCACAAAATAGGTATTTCATTTTATATCACGATCCAGCTCTCAACAGCTGCCAACTACTTGTACAGGCAGAAGAACCACATCAAGTCAGACTTTCAGAGGCCGCAGGACAAATTCTGTCCTCAGCCCACAGGAACGATTCCTCACTGAATTTAGGCTGAGACTTGGATAACTGCTACATGCTTCTGGGCACACTCTTCATGGGGCCCCTTCCACACAACGTGAGACTCACTGAACCCCACAGCTTGATCTGCTGCTGGGGTTTGGCTCCTTCAAAGGTTTCTTTCCTTCTACTGCTTCTGCAGCGCCTGCTCTTTCAGTTGGTTGACCAGCTCTTCAGCATACACCTTAAAGAGTGGGACAGGGTCCTGAAACAAAGCAGAGGATAAACCATTTAAAGCAGCAGCAGCAAAGGGTGAAGCATCACGGTGAGCCCATGCAGCCAGTGCTGCAGGAGTACTAGCAGTTAAAACCAGAGGAAGGTGGGACAGGTTTTTTTCAGTGGCTGAACAGACAACCTGCTGTGCTACTGCTGCAGACACAGCTGCTGCTCAGCTCTGTCACCCTGCCTCAAAGGTGACAGGCACTTGTACGAGACATTCAGCACCTTTCCCTGTTGAGAATCACGGGTAGCTCCCAGGGATCCCTTCTAAAAGCAGCTGCCTCCCTCATCACATTGCTCCACAGCAGAGCTGCACTGACACACACTGGGAGAACAAACCCCTTGAAGAAGCTGGAGCTCAACAGGGTTCAGGGCCCTGCACCACCTTACATAGCCAGTGCTCCTGACC